TTCACACCCCTCTCTTTACCAGCTAACTAATCTTATGCTTAGTCTGCAATACGGACTCAGGCACAGGGGTCTCTGTAATTTATCGAGATGTTAAGTAGTTAATTCAGCAGTTAAACATGTGCACAATGCTGCCCTCTGCAGGAGAATCTCTCTCTTGTATTCTGCACTTGAGTGTGAGAAGATAATTGGGATGAGGAAGATTAGGGAATGTCCAAAATCTATCAGCAAGCTACATTGTCTTCAAATGTGTGTGTGTGTGTGTGTGTGTGTGTGTGTGTGTGTGTGTGTGTGTGTGTGTGTGTGTGTGTGTACGTGTATGTGTATGTGAGTGCACCGAATTATGTCAGTAATTAGCTCTTCTCGGCTCTCACTCATGCTGACCCTAAATCGCATTGATAAGGGAGATGTTAGAGGAAAAGACGTGTTTTCTTTAAAGTTGTGACCAGTCCTTGTGTGACCTCACACTAGCTTCCAAACCTGACAGCCAGTAGAAATGTAAAAGGGGATTGAGGGTGTTTTCTGGATCCCTGCTAACAGAGATGGATCTAAATTATAGTTGTATTTTTATGTTAAATTTGAGCTGTCTCATTGGCTACGTTTACATGCAACCAAATAATCCATTTGTAATCGGATTGACGGCTCAATCGGACTGAAAAACCTTAATGTAAACACCTTAATCGATCCGATTGAGCTCGATCGGAATGAAATTTCAGTTTTAATACATAATAATAGACACATTTTAACTGAAAGCGGAAAAGCAGAGGTGTTTGCAGAAACATTTGTTAAAGTTCACAGTAACTCAAATCTATCATAGGACTTAAGGAAAAATAGGGACCAGATATTAAGTAAATACCCTAATTTGTTGGAGAATAAAGGATCATCTGGAAGTACGTTGGATTCAGAATTTACTTTGTATGAATTGAAAAAGGCGCTTGCAGGGGTTAAACAAACTTCTCCAGGTAGAGATGACATCTGTTATGAGATGGTAAAACGTCTATCGGAAAGAACTGCGCATGTGCAATGACGCAGAAATAGCGTAATGAGTGTTGTATAAAGTGTTGTATAAATGCTTGTCCTGTCATTATAAAACTCTCCTTTCACTCAGAAACTGTGAAGTGGAGCAGGATAACCTCCCACCAGTCCCTGTTTTGGATTCTCATCCACAGGCAACCCGTTTTGGGCGCGGGGAGGGGCATTTTTACTGTGTGATAAATATGAGAACTGCGCATGTGCAATGACGCAGAAATAGCATAATGACGTATGACGCACGGAACGAGCGGTTCTTCCTTTTGAATAAAGTGTTGTATAAATGCGTGTCCTGTCATTATAAAATTCTCCTTTCACTCTCAACCACAGGCAACCCGTTTTGGGCGCGGGGAGGGGCATTTTTACTGCGTGACAAATATGAGCAGCACGGCACAGCAGTTTATATGTATATTTATCCATAAATTAATCAATATTAATTCTGCAGTTAAAAACAAATAAAGAAGCCGTGTAGGAGAGGGGTTATTATGTGCAAACAGTGAGAAACTATATTTGTGCAGTGTGCGCATGTCAAAAAAATTAATTCCGATTTGAAGCTTGTGACATATAAATGCGCACATCAACCCGATCACTTTATTTAGCGTTCATGTAAACACTACATTCAGATTCATCAATCGGAATGAATTCAGTCTGATTGAAACAAAAATTGTGCATGTAAACAGCCAATGTCTGCTCTGGTTTTCCCTCATGTGAACTTCTCTCGAACTGGATGCCATGGTCCAGGCTGACATATAAATGCGCACATCAACCCGATCACTTTATTTAGCGTTCATGTAAACACTACATTCAGATTCATCAATCGGAATGAATTCAGTCCAATTGAACCAAAAATTGTGCGTGTAAACGTAGCCATTGAGTGGTCAGACCACAAAGTTATCTGGTAGAGTTCTGGGAAATTTTCAAGGCAGTCTACACTTGTAGTAATTCCTGGAGGAGATGTTTTTACATTAATTGCGATTTTCACACAACATATGTTATACAGTTATGGCAAGTTCATTTGTGTATCAGTGGGCGCTTACACACTAGAGGCAGCTCTGATGGGGTGTTCGGTGGATAAGGGACGTGTTAAATCCATTTTGAGAGTGTGGAAGAGCTTAGAGGTTGAAATCAAGCGAAAATACAGCGAATATCCATATCCATTCTGAAATTCTACTCGCCTCTCTAAGAATCTCTGTGATTGGTCAACAAATGCAGTGCGCACTGCAGCAGAACCCGTTGGCATTTTCGAAACTTTTGAGTGTCACTAATTTTTCCTCTTTGAAATCAATGGATTTGCAGTGTTGCAGTAAATCAGTTGTGCCAGAAACTGTGAATGTGTCGACATTCTTACTGACACAGCAGTGAGAAAGTGTATTGTCACTAGAACCACCTAAACTTACCCATAAATCTTATACCCAAGTATGCAAAAGACCTCTTCTTTTCGCTGTTTTTCTTTCTTTTCTTTTTTTCCTCCGAAAATAAGATGTTTGTCTGTTGTTTTTGTAAAGATCTTGAAGGTATCATACACTTTTTGCATAGACTATCCGATTTTTGTGTCATATGTAAAACTTTGTTGTGTTTCGTCAAACAAAATATCTGCTTGGTCTGCTTGTAACAACTTTCCAAGTTACAGAATGAAAGCATGACGTTATCTTTGAAACTGTTAAGTGTGTTGCTGCATTGAATCTGGGGTGATTTGTTAAAGGAATCATTGTTTATCACCGATGCAAAAAGAGAGAGAGATTTGCACTGACGTTTTCAAGGTCTTAGCACTTTCTCCTCAGAAAATGAAAGGACTGGTGCACTCTGATATTGTCTGAAGAGGTTTGAATGGTGGGTGTAAAAAACGCATCAGAAATCTCAGTCACAGCTGTTTTGAATTGCACTATTTTTTTTATGACCGAAATGAAAAAATATATCCTTTAGACTAAAACCAAAAAGAATTCTGTAAATGATGTATTTTGGAACAATACTAACTGGTTGGTTGGTTGTCATTTTTTAGACAATAAATTTTGACGTAAAGCATCATGTAAACTGTGGTCATTTTATTTTACAAATAATAAAAATAAACTGAGAACCTGTTGTGATCAGCTACAACTAGATTTGTTTTACTACAATTTTGTTGTGAGGGTCATATGGGGTTTATTTGCTACCTTAAATTTAAGCTTGTCATAGGTCAGATCTGACCATCAGCTGTTTAAAAAATGTAGAGAAATGTCAGTTCCAGGGCAGTTGTTCAGATTCTAAATTAGTAAATGTGCAGCATGTTGGTTTTGGTCAGTTCCAGGGCAGTTTTTCAGATTCTGAAGTAGTAAATGTGCAGCATGTTGGTTTTGCCATTTCAGCTCATCACGTCTTTCATGTGTATGGATTATAAGGTAAACCTGGGCTTCAAGTCTGTCCTTACCTAAATGGTGCTTATCCGCTTATTAGCTGAGCCAGTATAGACCAATGCCTAATGAGATTATAGTCATCATAGTATGAATAACACAAAGCACATGCCTCTGTCTGAATCTTTTACTAACAGAAGACGGAAAAATTAGAACAAGAAGTAGTGGAATTGATGTTTGGTTTCGTGAGTTTGGGTTGATAATTTGTGCATCAATTGTTCAGCAAACAATAGGAAGCTATGCTATGCTGCGTTGTGGGTTTTTCAGCTTTCTTTGTTGAATTTGAGCTGTAAAATCTGTTTCGGTGCTGTGGTTGCTAGGGAAACTGTCTTTTGGGGCTGCTTTTGGTAGCTAAGGGCAGGTGAGTTAGGGAGAGTATCCCTCTCGCAGTTTGTCAGTGCTTTGGCTATCTTCAGTGTCTGCCACTAGATGACACAAAGGATAGGAGGAATTGGAAAGGATATACAGTAACTGATGTGAATGTGGCAATAATAATACCATGATAAATAGTGACAATTTACAGGTGACTTTTTTCCTTGCTTAAAAGGGTAAAAATACAAATATTTAGATTTAATAATATGCTCATTAATAATGTTAGGGTATTTTTCTTTTTTACATTTTTGGTAATTCCTATTATTCTCAAATAGTGATTCTCACTGTAATTTTTTTGTACTCTTATATGGTGAAGAGTACCGTAATACTATGTATGATTGAAATACTCTATATGAATATGAACTGATGAACAATAGTATATTTATATTATATATTGGACTAGACTGTTGTTCATTGTTAGTTTAAAATGCTTAATGCACTGTTTTACCAAATTTTTACCAAATTACCAAACAGGATTGCCAGGTCTAAGAAACAAAACCTGCCCAATTGCTAATCAAAACTAGCCCAATCATGTGTTTTCCTCCGTTTTCCCCTTTGTTGGGGGTCCCCTCCATCAAAGTTGCATTCTGCGGAGATCACTTCAAACTGCAGATTTCAAAAACAACCTGCAGCAACAATGTAAACGTCGCCCTATTCCGCGGTAAAACCGCAGATTGGCAACCCTGTTACTAAATTTGTTTGTGCATCAGTAATGTAAAATTTGGGGCGGATGAATGTTTAGCTGTTGTGAAAGTATTGTCACAATGTATTAGATTAAAATGGGCATTTTCTTTTTTTAGTTAAAATTTTAGTTCTTATTTCTTGCTTTTCATATTGAGGTAATATATGACCTGGACATGTTCTTCCTGTTGGCTAATTCTAATGTAGAGTAATGCCCTCCTTTGGGTCATCCTTTATGGCTTTACAGAATGCTCCCAAAATAAAAATAACCCTGACTCCACCCATTAAAATAATTAGGGTTAACATGAATCAGCCCGTTATGTTAATGCAGCAATAGCGGCTGTTAAAGTAATTTTATTCGAGAGAGATCGAGAGAGAGATTAACCCAGTGCTTTGGTAAGTAGGTTTGGCATTAATGCTATGTGCAGGGCTTAAACACTTCTCACATATTAACTCTCATACTTCCAGTGGCTTAACCTGCATGTGTTCAGACTCTAACCAGCTCTCTTCACATCTCTTCATCTCTATCCACAGTTAATGACTTCACAGTGATCAGGAAGAAGTTTAAGTGCCCATACTGCAGTTTTTCCGCCATGCACCAGTGCATCCTGAAGAGGCACATGCGTTCACATACGGGCGAGAGGCCGTATCCCTGTGAGATCTGTGGGAAGAAGTTCACCCGGAGGGAACACATGAAACGCCACACACTGGTGAGTGCAGTACCAACAGGGGGAGGCAGTGAGTGCAGAGCAATTATCTGCATAAATGTGCAAAGTGTACAGCACTTAAAGGAATAGTTCCCCCAAAAATGAAAATTAAATCGTTTACTCACCCTCAAGTTGTTTCAATGATATTTTGAAGAATGTGGTCAACCGAATGTTTACCTGTACCCATTGACTTTAATATTTTTTTCTTACTATGGAAGTCATTGGCTACCATAAAGAAATTCATACATGTTTTGAATAACTTGAGGGCGAGTAAATGATGCCATAAATTTCATTTTGGGGTGAACTAACCTTTTAAGAGTGGTTAAGATAACATTGTGGAATTTTGATTATTACATCTGGATGTTTATAATTAAATAAAATGCAATAAAAAATAATTTAATAGAAATATCTTGTGAAATATTTTGAATTTCAAAGCCGATACTTTGAAATGTCTTTTCAGTTTTTATTAAGGACTATACAGCATATGTGCTTTTTGTAAAGATGTTTGTGTGGGAGACAAGTCTCTAGTGGGCTCCTATTAAATACAGCATTCTGCCATATCCCATAAACCCCTCTTATCTCAGTTTTTCTCTGCCCTTATTGCCAGCAGTTTTTTCCTCTCCTTTTTTTCTTTCTTAAAACCTGTATTTACTGTATCTTCTCAAGGAAAGCACATATAAACACACTTTGGCGCATTTTCTTGGTCTCTGTGTGGCTACGAGACATGCCACAGAAATTAGCTCTGGTTTTGTGCATATCAAAGGGCCTGTAATAGTGTGACATGATAACAGACAGCACTGCTTCTGCTTAACACTGAAACGTTTAACACCTAAACATTGCTTAATTCATGATCCACACCATGATGGATCACAACCGATATGCTACACCGCCACATGTTGTCACCGCTTCGTTATTATGTGGTGAAAAATTCAAAGGTCTGCACAAGAGACTGTAATTGGCTGAATGCTTCTCTTCCCTTGTGAATTCAGCAGCGACTGCAGATACACAGTTTTGTTTGAGATGCTTTTACAGTTTATGTATACATGTAATGCTAATAAAACGTACCACACTAGAGTGTGGCATTATAGCAATGTCGAGGTCTTGGGTTTGAATCTCAAAGGAATCCTTGTAATGATAAAATGCATACTTTGAATCCAATGTTAAGCGTTTTGGATAAGTGTTTTTCAAACACGTTAAAGTGAATGTGTTCAAAGCCATTATAAAGTGCAGATAAATTGCAGATGAAATGTACATTCTACATTAATGTGGTAGGTTGCTATGTTGCTAGGCAACTGTAAATAGCCTAATGAATTACTGCATGTCAGTGATTCTTAACAAGTGACCTGTATTATTTGGCAAACTAATTATTGTTAATAAATCAAACTATTTATTGAACATTTGGGACTTTTATCATATTGCTGTTGCTGCAGCATATGTTGAGCAAAAAATAAAAAATAAAAAAACTATTAACTGAGTGCATGCTTTATTGTATGTGCTTTCCGGGATGAGTTAGGATTGATTATTACATACAATATAAATCTGATGTGGCTGCATGCATTTGACTATCTACAAATATAATTTCAGTATTTTTCAAACTCAAAATAGCCCATCAGACCCTGTTTCCATGTTTTTAACATTCTTTGCTTGATCAGGGGCCAGTTGCATAAACACAGCCACTATGTTAAAGACTGTTTAAGAAACTAGTTTGATCAACTAGCAGTTGGCCAAGTCTTTTTTAATTATTTTTTTTTTTTTTTTTTCAAATTAGACTAATGTACCTTTCTATGTAACTGACTTGGTAATGACCAGTGTTAAAGAATAAATGAGATGGCTAACTTGTATGCAGCCAGCCACAGATCACCTGAGACACATCTTTATTCCAAGCGTAAACAGGGTCATTGTAAGCCTCATGTAGCTTCTAGCTGTAATAAATGAATATTGTACCACGGTATTATGATGGTACTGCCACAGACGTTTTTTGAAAAGAAATGCTGTCTCTTAACAAGGCATTGTCACTCTTTCTCAGGTGCACAGTAAGGACAAGAAGTACGTGTGTAAAGTATGCAGTCGCGTCTTTATGTCTGCTGCCAGCGTGGGCATCAAGCACGGCTCTCGTCGTCACGGTGTCTGTGCAGACTGCTCAGGTCGAGGCATGGCTGCCCTGCTGGACCAGAATGGCGAGGACGGCTCGCCAGAAGAGGAACTCTTGTATCCCGGTGACCACCATTACCCCGATGACACCGCCGATGGTGACGGGGAAGAGGAGATGATGGTGGAAGCAGAGCTGATGGGAGAAGGTGAAGGAGAGGAGGAGAATGGAAAATGGCGGCCTGGCTCAGGGATGTCACAGCGAGACGACAGAGCAATGGACGATGGCAAAGAGGAAAGCGACTCGGCTCTGGAAGGAGACGCCAGGACGGGAAGCGAGAAAGACTTCAGTTGGATCTCCTAGTCCAATGCCTGGATACTATTCCAAGGTTTACCACCTGTTCCTATAAGGAGATATGCTTGAGGCAGGGCAATCGGATCTCAGCATGTGGGAGGAGCTGGATACAAAGAGATCCTTGAGATGCCCACAGGGCTGCCGAAGGAGAGACAGTGGAGAGTCCTCTCGCCCCCGACTCCATGTGCTTCTGACCCAGGCTTCAGTTTGTCTCCTTTCTTCCTTGAAGACCAAACGGGTTTCTGCGTATGTGTTTGCTATTTCTTCAGACAAAAGAGATTCTGTTGTCTCGGGAGACTGTCCAAATCAGTACCATGCTTTGATGGGTCAAACAGACAAAGTGTACGAAAGATGTGCTCTTTCCATATGGTCAGCTGCCACCAGGGGGCGCTGGCTAATCTATTGCGCAGCAGTTCATGTCAGAAGACTTGCACCAGTTTTTTTTGGCACATTGTTGTTTTCTGCGTTGTTTTCTGCGAAGAGAAACTGCAACAGACTTGCACTTTAAACGTTGACTAGAGTCCTATCGATTCCCGGTTTCTGCAGTTTAATTTACATAGATGAATATGGTGACCACACCTACCTTTAAGGATACACAATATGTCCTTATGACTGTTATATATGAACATTTGTGCTAGGTTTGCTAATTATAATGTATGCCTTGTAATGTTTTATTTCATTGCAATTTTCCTTCTTGAACATTTATTTCGAGCGGAAAAATCATGTATATAGATGCATATAAGTGAGATGCTGATTTTGTGTTTTCAACAAAGAACGGTAAAGGGGAAGGTGGGTGAACACTATGCAGAAACGAATCGTTCTAGTTCTCAACAATCTTTATTCTCTCTATTATGGGAGAGAAAACTTGTTTTCAGCAATGGCAAAGGAGAGAGACTGGAGGAGATATACGAGTAGATTTATGTAAATATTACTTGTGTCCCACAGTAATATTTTCTCATTATTTGCATTCCATAGTGGACTCAGTCAGGGATGGTATGGTTTTATACAGAGGGTTTCCAGTGTGGTGTTTCTATTAAAAAAAAAACAACAAAACAAAACCTGTATGCAAATGTGTGTAATTTGTAGGTTTGGTGTGTGGGGGTGTTTAACTTCAAAGGCCTTTACTGAAATGATTTCAGACTCTCTCCTCTCGTCCCCTCTTTTTACGTTTGACGTACTTTGCGTTTCCTCACAGCTTTGCCATTCTACTGTACTGAGTCTGCCTCTGAAATCTTAAAGCCGTGTGATGTGACAGGGAGATATCATGCCTGCCCACTAAATATTTATTGCTCTAACTTCTGGAATATTCAGAAATATGCGTCAATTTCTTAATCAATGAACCACAGCTTTCTTTTGTTATCAGTCCATTTAAGATGACGAAACACAAAAACTCTTAGTAATGAGACCATGGGGACTGATGTGTTCTGTAAAGTGAAATTGCTGTTCTTTTATTGGTTTTAAATGGTTATTTATTTAGTTTGTGTGTGTTTGAGGGAGAGATTGTCTAGTCGTTTTACACATCCTTACCATTCTGTTTGACTCAGTGCGTGTGTGTGTGTGTGTGTGTGTGTGTACGAGTGCGTGGAGGACCAGGTTCATGAATGTCTTTTTACTCACTGTTTTAACAATCTGTGCCAGAATCTTTGACAATGGGACTAAAACGCTTTATTATGCTTTATGATTAACAAGTTTTAATTATTATGGTTACTGTTGGTGTTGTAATTCTTATTGTTATTATGATTATAATTATTGTTATTATTATTAAGTGCTGGAGGCTAAGCTTTATTATCGGTTTCATTTTTTATTTCCTTTCTTGAAAAACAGTGTAAAACTTTCCAATCTCGCCTTTCTATGGACAGCAAGCCATGTGGCTTTCAGAAGTAATTATATTGTGCCAGTTCCATGGATTTATCAGTGATATTGGAGAAAATGTTTCCTTATATTTTATTTTGTTTTTGAAGGATGAACCTTCTGAGAGCTTAATTTACTAAGTGTTGACAAAGGTATATACAGCACACGCTTCTATATTACTAACGCAGTGTTTCCCAACCGGGGTGCCGTCTGTCGAGAGCAGGGGTGCCGTGTAAAAAATCCTTTTTTAATATTTTTAAATTGCTAACATTTTCAAAAAAGCAGCTATTATATAATATCCATTTCTGATGTCGCCAATAATTAGAGATGCACCGAAATTCCGGCTGCCGAAAATTAGTTCGCCGCTCAGGATTCACTTTCACGTGGTGTGACGCTCTGCGTATAATACCGCTCTATGTGTGTGTGCGCTCCGCTCAGTCGCTCCACTCGTATACCGTTCATGCTCATCGGAACAGCAGAGTCCACTCAAAAATTGAGCCGACAGGAAACATCGATGTAGTACAGTATTGTTTCTGTCTGCAACAGCCCTACTGTGTTGTAACGTGGTGGTCATTTTTTATTCAATTCAAAGTTTGAAATCAAGCTACCTCGTGCTACTGCAACAAAATTACCCCACTGTAAAATAAAAAAAACACTGAGTGAGCAAAAATTTGTGAGATAGTTTAAGTTATAATGGTAATTAAACAATGTTTACATATGAATAAAAGCCTACATTAAAATCGGTCATATAAATTAGTCTCTTCATTAGAAATTAGCCTACTGATTGCCTCCATGGACAAAAAAATTAATAATATTAAAAATATCTGACACACACACACACACACACATATATATATATATATATATATATATATATGACACATTCTGCAGTTCTTCCCTGCTGTACCGAATTTCGATACTTTTCAAAGTATCATATCGAAGTTAGAAATTCAAATATTGTGACAAAATTAATTTTGTAGGGTGCCACAAGTTTGTTAAAATTTCCAAAGGGTGCCGCGACTAAAAAAAGGTTGGGAAACACTGTACTAACGTACACTAAGTAATGAATATTATACCAAAAAGTAATAATCTGGTATACTTTTAGTATACATTTAGTGCTTTTCTTTCGATTTGGTGTACAGGTGCAAAGCTTTGATCAAACAGTGAGTTGCTTGGTTGATTTCATTTTTTTCCCTCTACTTTGAGAAAGCACAGATTATGGTGTTATGTTATGAAGGGCCACTTGAAAGTACATTTTAAAGAAGAATTGCAGCTTTAATTCTGTTGCCCTTGGAAACATGCTCAAGTTTTAATGGATGTGCTCTACTGTATGCCATCACTCTGCATCTGAATTTAGAAGGCTGGCCACTTTCATGTGGAATTATGGGAAATATGACTTTGGGACTGGGAAATGATCCTTTTTGGCAATGAGAATTTGTACAAGCTTTAGACCTCAAATGTCATTGGCCCAAGTGCCAGGCACAATTACTATCCAAATTTCTCCAAATGATTGGACATTTGGTTATTTTCCTGTTTAATTTATTGTGTTCTTTACCTTTAATTGAAATAAAATCTGTTGGCATTGAAAGACAAACTGGATCACATCATTTGAATCCAATTCATTTACACAAGTAAATGTGGGTTAGATTTCACGATCAGGGTATTTTTAAATGCGCTTGTTGATACTTCTCAGTGATTTTCAATCAGGTAACTTCTAGAGATAAATATTAAAACAGATATGTGCCTCTATGTACTTGACCTACAAATGTACTATAATTGCCCCAGTGTGTGGTTATGTGTTTGTGCGCGCATGCACATCATGTAGGTTTTGCCCATGCATGCCATTAGGATTTTTTTTTTTTCTGATATTACTCTTGATTTCGTTATTAATGTGTGTAAAAATAAGGATGAATGAAGATATCATCGTATCAGCTTATAATGATCTTTCTGGGCATAAATAAATAATTTCAGCTAATCTTTTTCCTTTAGTATTATTACAGCTAATCAGACATAAATATAGTTCCTTACTTACATGAAGATTTGAATTCTCTAATTTGACTTAAGACAAAGTAGAAAACAGGAACTTTTATATTATCAATCCATGTAAGGATTGAGGGTCCCATTTTGTGAAATATATTCATTGATGACTCAATGAATCAGTATGATATGACTTAGTAGGCAGAAATATAGCCTTTTAATAATTTAAGCAAATCTTAAGCAAATATCTTGCCAGTTAGAAACTAAAATTTATCAATTTCACATGCAATATGGTTTGCTTACTTTAAATAATTTATTGATCTAACATAACACATTAAAGATAGGGAAGGCTATTTTTCCATAATTTTGTTTATAATGTAAGCTAAACTTCAAATTAAAGGGGTCATATGATACGATTTCAATTTTTCCTTTCTCTTTGGAGTGTTACAAGCTCTTGGTGCATAAAGAAGATCTGTAAAGTTGCAAAGAGTAAAGTCTCAAATCCAAAGAGATATTCTTTATAAAAGTTCAGAGTCAGCCACACCTACCTAAAACGGCTCGTTCTAACACGCCCCCACATATCTACGTCACAATGTGGGAAGATTTGCATAACGCCGACCCAAATGTTCACGCAAAGAAAGAAGGCGTAACTTCTATTCTCGCTGTAGTATTGTTGTTGCCGCCGCCGCCATGTCGTGAAGGCGCTGTGTGTTTCGTTGTGAAAGCGAAACTACTTTGTTTGGCCTTCCAAAAGAGAACGATATCCGCTTCGTCATGCCTGGCAACCCAGTATCACGCCAAAGCGTGTAGCAGACACGCTGGTCCACTCGAGTATGCGTGTAAGTGTCACGCTTTGCCTCCTCTAGGCGTGAAAATTACACGCATGTATGAAGGTGAAGTTACCAATAGAGTACCAGGAGGGGCGATAATTTTCTCAATGCCAACAACTCCCTACGGACCAAATAGAAGCGATTTAGTGCATTCTCCAAAAATCCCCGCGCAAGGTAAGCGTATTATTTTTGTGTTGATATTAGGTCTTTATTGTAACTTTAGCAATATAACATCACCATATTAGGGCATAAACTATAACATTGAATTGAGAGACAAGGTAATTACCCATGCCATAATTTTCA